TTTTACATTGTCTATGAATAGACTTCTAGTGAGTTATGATGACAGCTGCCCACTGCTTTTCTTATCACAGGGTCTTCAATTTAGGGAGTTAGCAAATGTTAGGGTTTGTTAAGAAGCTGTCAGTTTACATTGGTATTTGTCATTTTATTTCCTTTTATAGTTTTTTTTTTATTAATAAAATGGTATTTTATAACAATAGCTGTGCAAATCAAAGGTAAGAATGTGGATTCTGGTAAGGCTGAAACAGAAGAATTCAAAATGAAGAGGAATACCCGGTCGTTCTTAATCTGGTCTTCTTGTGAGTTTTTTCCCTTGTCTCTGATCCTGTTTTGATATTGCCAGACAGGATCTAAAAACATAGACAGGTTGAGGAGAGTGTGTGTTTGAGCCTTGTTTGTGCCTTGAAATAGCATCCATGCTTTTTGGAGATGGAGTGTTTCTGCTGGCTTTGTTGGAGCATGACCTTTAGCGAACACTGGAATGATTTGCAGCTGAGTGTGAAATGTTTGGAAAGACATTCAGCACCTCCAAGTCTGAGACTATGGTTCCCGACTAGAAAATAGTAGAGTGCTCCCTCTGGGTTGGCAGAAAGATGCTTTCCGAAATGCAGATGTTCAAGCATCTGAGGATGTGACTTATGTGACTTCAATAGATCACATGATGGAATGGGGCAAGGTCTCACAGTGGTTCCACCCGAAACCTCTGGCAGTAATGACCCATGCCTATTTTCACGCCCTGACTCATGTGATGAGGTACACGATTAATAGTCAAAGGAACACCTTCAAAGGTACAACCCTCACTAGGGTTTCAATACTGGCGACTCTCCACTTTTTGGTTTTAGAATTGAAGAAATCTCTTGTATGAAAGCCAAAACATCTTCAAAGCACTTAAATAAGTCCAGAACACTTAAACCAAACACTTAAACCACCCTTTTTTCAAGCTATTTAGACTAACATGACCTGGATGACTGAGAACCTTACACAGACATGACTTAGGATCGTATTCAAGCGGAGAAACTGGTTCCGCTGGTGGATTAATATGCAAGTATTGTACTGGACAAGAAACAAGAGAACTGGGCTGGAAGGCGAAGCTTTCGTTTTACCAGTCAACGTACATTTTAACCCATCTATGGTCATGAGATCAGGGTGACGATTCAGTAAAGTAAGGTTGCAAATACAAACAACCAAAATGAGTCATCGCCATAGTTCAGCTGGACTCAGCCATAGGGATAGGGTGAGAAACTTGGATATCCGGAGGGATCCCAGAGTAAAGCCACTGCTATGATGTCTCCTGGGTACCTCACTTTGAGGTTTTTCAGACACACCCAGCTGGGAGGGGACCCCAGAACCTGCTGACAAGATTATATGTTTCATTTGGCCTGGAAACGCCTCTCAATGCCCCAAGGAGTAACGTGTTGCTGGGGAGAAGGATGGCTGAAACACCCTGCTTAGGCTGCTGCCACCAAGATGATGGATGGACTTATGGATGGATTGATGGATGGCATTGTTCTCTGCTGCTTTGCTGAAAATCAGTGACATGAAATGTAAAGTTCTTCCCGAGAACAAGTTTCTTTAAAATACACTGAAAAGTTCTCCAATGCCATGAGCCTGAGAAGTACCAGCAAACAAGAAAATGGTTATTTGAAGGCACTCGTGCCTGTAGCTCCAGTGGAAGTCCCACGTGTTGGCGGTCCCTACTGTAGTGGTTTTGAGAAGAAATCCAGAGTCAAAGAGGATTTAAATGCAAAAGCATCACATGCAGACATTGCAAGCTTGGATTGTCTGGCTGTGAACGGTTGACTTCTAAAGGCAGCGGTTAGGCTCATTTTGAACATCCTTTATGGACATCATTTTGTATTTTAATTACAGTTTCCGTGCACATGGCCCTGCTGCACACACTCAGCACATGCAGTGACACTGTAGCTTAAGTATTATTGCACTTACCCGACCAGTGAGAAACAATTAAATGTTACTTAACAGAAAAATAACTTTTAGGAAATGCTTGATCTCTCATCAAAGCTTTTTTTAAAAAGAGGTTTTATTTAACGTTGAAACCCTATGGAGCCATCATTTGAAAGCATATGCATCTCATCAATCTAAAGGATCAACTTCACCTTTCCCTGCTGCACTTAAAGCACATTTGCTTCATTTCTAGAGGTCAAGTGAGGTTCTCTGTGGAAGTCCTCACATTCCTCTACCCCTCCAGCTCGATCCAGTTTGTTACTTGACACTTTCCAAAAAAAGGAGGTACTTAATTGCAGGTCCCGTTTTTGTTTTGCTCTCTCTATCATTGTCGTTTTATTGATCATTTTTTCCCCTTGTTCGGCTATGTGTGCGCACAAGCGCATGTTTGCATGTGTGTCTGAGTGCACATATACAGTATGTGTGCATGTGTGACTTGTAATTAGCCTCTTGCTCTGGTCTGTATGGCATTTTAACAAATGCTTCTATATATATCATGCTATCAGGCTGAGGTTTTAGCAGTGTCACTCCCTGCCACTTTCTCCTCTTTCCATCCCTCTCTCTTTCGCTCTTCTCTTCCTGTTCGACCAGATCGGCCCTTGCCCTTCAGCCCCGCCGTGTTTTTTTATAAGCTAGTGGTTTCTCTGTCCTCGCTTTATCTCTCTCTTCCCCCCTAAAATTATGCCTCGGAAGCCTGTCATTGCCATGAGGCACCTCGCCGGACCAAAATCATAAACTCATTACATGTTTTATTTTCTTGTTTGTATAAGGCATGGCTATTATGGCTTTCCATATGTGTATGTGTGTTTGTGTGTGTTATCTGCATATGTGGTTTTAACATATATGGTAATACATGGTTCTTATGTGCATACATCAGGTGTACAAACCCTGTTAAATGATACCTTCAGCACACGCTTACTGATACGTGTGTGTGTGATGTGTGTACACATGTGTGTCCTGACCAGTGAGTGGGTTTAAGCGGTTCATTTATTTTCCAACTAATGTTTGAAATGTTTTCATGTGTGGTCGAAGGTGAAGTGGTGCCTTGGAGCGGTCACCCACACACACACACACACACACACACGCACCTACACACTCAGACACCCACTCAGACACATACACACACACATGCAGGAGGGGCATGTCCTGAGGCTGTCAGGGGTGTGTCTGTGGTCAGAGTGGCACTATAAGACACAGGCAGGTACACTGGACTTTTCATTCAGCTTCACAGAGTTGTGTGTGTGTTGTGTCTGTGTGTGTCTGTGTGTGTATGCGGCTGAGTTTTCTGTTACTTCTCTAACTTGTTTAACTATCTAAGTGTTTAACAGCTTTTCAGAGTCTTAAACTTTCTAGTTTTTCCTTTTTAAGCGACTTTTCAAAGTTCCACCGAGCTCAGGGTGTTTAATCGAGCATTTTTGCAGCAACTTTTGCACAGTTAAAAGAAAGTAAGGCAGTTTGACTTTGGCCCTGACTCAGCATTTGTAGCAGCACACACAGCATCCCTACTGAGTTGCCACAGCAACTGTGTCAGTCCACTGGAAGTCTGGGGTAAGTATTCAGCTTTGCTTTTCTCCTCTCCCTCCCATTACCCTTTTCACTTTTACAGCCTCCATCTTTCCCCAATATCTCTTTCTCCTGCACTTATTTCTCGTCCTTTCCACTGCGTGTCCTTTTCCCCTTTATTTTTTTGATTTGCACATTCTAAACGCTTCTTATGTTTTTGCTTTTGTCAGTGGCTGTTTTACAAGCCCGTTCAGAGACATTCTGTCTGCAAGTTCCACCTTCTCATTTCTGAGAAAAAAGACTAAATCAGTCTTTGGCATGCAACAGAGTGTCACTACATGCACATCTGATATTTAGATTTCCAAGAAATAGTCTGATATATACAAAGAATTATCATGTATGAATCTGCTGCATGTAACAGGCTATGGATCCTCACCTAATCCTAGCCCGGTGTGAATTCACAGCCCCCACAACTGTGGCAACAAATCCTTTTTTTGTCAGTTGCGTAGTAACACATCACCACATAATATTTCTGTATATTTTTATGGTGAGTTTTGAAAAGTTAGTCTCAAAAATGCATTTGTTTCTATAATATGTATTCAGTGGAATTCATTCAATTTATCACAGTCAGTCAAGCAGATCAGAAAGACGAGTGCAAGAGTTTGGCTTCTCAGCAGTATTTAAAAGTTGACAATACAGCAGACTTTGGCCGGAGTGTCAGAATACTATAATTGCAGCTGACAAACCAATAAGTTTGCATAGAAGAGTTGATAAATGGGCTCAAGTCAAAGTTTTCCTCAGTCTGCACTGTGAGGTTTTATATAAATTTAGGTGGACTATATTGATGTAGTTTCAAATGAGCTGTTGTCAGATGTTTTTCAGGTACAGATACTGCAGAGGGGATGACACTGACTTGCTACCATGCAACAGTCACCTGTGGCACAAAGACCCTTTCATTTATTCCTAAGCTTCTTAAAAATATCTGCTAAATAAAGCAGTGCAGTCATCCTCATTTTACCCTCCACCGTCACAATGCGTCACTTAGCTTTGATTGCATGGTTGTTTGAAAACTCTTCTGAATAAAGGGAAATGCCCATCGCAGGGGCAGCACGTGTTATCTAATGAATGCGGTGCAAAATTAATCAGTGCTAAAAGAAATAGCAACAGAAAATCCTCGGTTTGTACCCTGCTGTGCATAAAGAGGACATGATTCACGATAAATGATATTTACAGGATTCACACCTGCTCCTTACCTCCCGATCGCAGGAGCCACGCTTTTGCTCCGGATAAGTGACTCAGGTGTTTTCACGCCGTGTGAACTCCTGCGGTTTTGTGTGAGTGTGCATGCCTGCGCGCTGTGTGACATAATGGAAAGTGCTGTAAGGTCGTCAGTTTTGACGTGTCGTATTTTTCCATATCAGGCTGGGAAAAGTGCCGGCACCCTTTTTTTGTTTTTGTTTACAGCATTTAAAATCTCATAAATCCTCGTGAACTGATCATGTTTTATTATTAACCCCTCGCCTGTTCTTTCTTTAGATCATATGTACATAGACGAATACATTGAAGAAGATGAGGAACCACCTTTGCTGCTCAGCTATTGTCCTCCTCGCGGTAAATATGCGCATGCTTTGTGAGCTCTGTTGTGTAAGAAGAAGAGTGTATCCACACGTGTGCGCACTTCTTCTGATTCACGAGTGTGTTTCTGTGTCTTCCAGCTGTTTGGCTGTGGAGGGACTGCAGCGGTGCAGTCTCGGTGTGGGAAAGGGTGTGCGTGTCTGCAATGCCCGGCAGGCCAGGAGCCTTCCAAGGTGAGACAACATTTTAATATTTTAATAACATTTGTATTGTTTATTATATATTTTAACACTTTCACCTCCTTAACTGCTATAAATATGCTTGTTTCAGTAGGCAACATTTGTCTTTAATTTCTATAGTGTAGAGCAGGGGTGTCAAACTAGACTAGACAGCTGTGCAAAATATGAAGGAAGGCATCGATTTTTGGACTTTTAGCTGCGTTATTTAAAGTTTTGCAGCTTTTCCTGCTAATAAAGACTCCCCTCACAGCCATTCATACTACACCAAAGTAGTTAAGTAATAGATAACAATTAAATAACAGAAAAGTTCCTGCTTTTCACTGTCTACTATAAAGAACATTTTCATCACTCAACCAGTACTTTATGTCTTAGAAATATGGGACAACCTTTCCTGTAATTTTACACACTTCTTTATCTTATATTAATATATCTCAGGGATTAAATGTGTAGTTAAACTTCTTTACTCTGACAGAAAGTGGAGTTTCGCTCGATGTGAAATAGTGTAGAGCTTTAAAACATATTGGACCCAATACATTTCCACAGCTCGTTAAATTACTTATTCAACTCCCTCCGCCTGAGCAGCCACCTGCAGTTTATGTTCAAATCACATTTTCATCTCCTCCATTACATTATAGTCTGTGTATTTGGTCACTGCAGTTGTCAAAAATGAAGTTGTTCTTCTCATGAATCCATAAATATTGGCTGAGTCTTATAAGTGCTGCAAATCTTTATTTTATTTCTAGTTAACACAGAAGCAGGATTTCAAATTAAAACGTTCAGCTCTTTGCTACCCATCAACTCTACAACGCCACAGGGATGCTACGTTTTCTCTTTAAGCCTCTTTTGCCTGACTTTAGACTTTTTCTTTTCTTCTCAGGCTTGTGGGCAGATCCAGAGTCCAGCTGAAGAAGTGCATTGCCAGGTGTGCCCAGCTGGAACCTTTTCAGACGCACTGGACTCTGAGGTTTGCCGTCCACACACCTCCTGTAAGATCCTCGGCCGAAAGCTTGCATCCTCTGGCAACGGGACCTCTGACGCCGTCTGTGGTCACTGTCTGACTGGGTGAGAACTCATGGCCTGAGTTTGTGGTGGTCTACCTGTATGCTTGCTAGTCCACAAAGAGGTCTATCCAACCACAGGGTGGACAATAACGCGGCTTTCATTCAATATTGTAACTCATAAACTTTTATTTGTTCTAAATTAAGTCCTGCAATTTTCTCTGTCTCAAAAAAGCAAGAAAACTGTCACACACACACACACACACGCAGGGACAAACACAGTGTGTCATTCACCACAATGGGCGGGTAACATCAAGAACAGGCACCACTGGACATAACATGCCACAAGCCAAAACCGCTGATTCATTCTTTCACTGTTACACAGCCCCTCGTGTTTTTCTCTTCATCCATCTCTCTAATTAGGCTCTTTTTGGTTCTTTTTCATCCATTCACAGGTTTCACTCCTCTGCCGCTGGGCAAGTTTCCACCCAAAGTCCCTGCGTGAAAAGTAAGCACGCTTCTGCAGATTACCGTGTCTGAACTTGCTTTTAGTGAACTGATTTCTGCTATCACGCTGCCTACTTCTCTGATGTTTTTCGCTCTTCTTCCCCTCTTTCCTCTCAGAAGGGTTGCATGTCAGAGTGGTCCGTAATGTGGGTAACGGTCAGTCTGGTGGAGCAGGAGGACCGGCCAACAGCACAGTGGTGCGCAGCACTGAGGAAAAGACAGCAGAGTACGCCGTGTTTGCCCTAGTGCCCGTCTTCTGTGTGATGGGCCTGCTGGGTATCCTCATCTGCAACATCCTAAAGAAAAAGGGATACCGCTGCACCGGTGAGAAGGAGGGAGGAGATGAAGAGACTGCAACACCGCAGAAAGAAGGTGAGAGATGGGAAGGCTGCTGAGAGAAAATCACAATAATGGGAGCAAAATAGGAAAGTTGCATTTAAGTTCAGGCTGTTGTCGCGTTTGACCATAAAAATGCCAAATTAGCACACTTGGCATGCACACGATGTGGTCAAGTTTCCCTGTCAAGAGTGAAACCAGCCCAGCTCAAAGGGCAGCGCCTTTGCATGTGCACTCAGTCCCCATATGTTTTTTATGTAACTGCACGCGAGTCCATGTGTGAGGCTGTTTTATTTCTTTTTCTCATCTTAGCTGCTTTGAACTTTGACCTCACAGGGGACATTACATGCTGTAATTAGCTAAGCAGGTATTGTTTTAATGTAATGCTCCTATTTGAAAAGGTAAAGTGGGGCATTCTCGTCAACCTCTTCGCCCGCCAACGTCAGAGAAACGGACTTGCGTCAACGCAGAAAGCATAAAAAGAGTCAGGGAGGGCAGGAGAAGAAAAAGATACAGAGGGGAGGGGCGTTAATTGAAAGAGACGTAGAAATTAATCCAAGAGAAAGGTTGTATAAGTTACCATACCCATTCTCTGTTGTTTGCATAATCTTGTTTGAAGTGCTTAAATGTATTTTTTTCACCCTGTGAGCCAAATTAGCCCTTTAAGAGAGTACTCACTTAGGCAACGTCTTTCTTCCTCTTTCTCTGTGCACGCAACTGAGAAATGCACTCATTTCTTTCCTTTATGCTTCTATTGTACTGGATGTACTGTACCTACTAGGTTTCTAGTTTTCTGTAAAAGGTCACATGGCAGGCACACACCTCCAGGCAGCTTTTATTTTATTCAATTGTGTCACAAAACGCATAAAAAGTGTTTTGTTTAGGGTTTTTGGGGGGTGGTGGTGAAAAGATGCTGTGAAGAATGTGGAGTAATAATCAGTTCTACTTTTACAGATTGTACTTTTCTAGATAACCAGATTGCTAACCTGCATTTATGAAACAAACCACACACACTAATGAGCTGGAGTGAGCTTGCCACACTCTACAGTAACCTACTTTGTGTTTTAATTTATTAGAATCCACTGTTGCACAAGTTCTGCAGCAGCCAGACAGCATACACGACACGCAGTTTGTTACAGCCATTTGGTGCAGATAAATAAGCAGACTTAAAGGCTAAGCTGGCTTTTCCTTCGCTCACCTGATGGTGCAAGGCTCTTAGGAAACCTGCATGGAATCGGGAGCGTCAGAGCGCAGCTGCACCCTCGGCAGATCCGACTGTGTGACAGCATGCCTCACGTCAAGTGTTTGTGCAACACCTGTTGTTTCATTTACAGCGTTTTCCATAACTGCAAACATGGTAAATGGCCTGCATTTGTATAGCGCTTTTCTAGTCCCTAAGGACCCCAAAGCGCTTCACACTACATTCAGTCATTCACCCATTCACACACACATTCACACACCGGCAATGGCAAGCTACATTGTAGCCACAGCTGCCCTGGGGCGCACTGACAGAGGCGAGGCTGCCGGACACTGGCGCCACCGGGCCCTCTGACCACCACCAGTAGGCAAACATGGGGTTAGTATCTTGCCCAAGGATATTTGGCAGCCAGGAGGCAGCCTGAGATCGAACCACCGACCTTCGACCTTAGTGGCTAACCTGCTCTGCCACCTTAGCTACAGCATGCAAACAAATGGTTATTTTTCGCTCACTTACTCCTTCTATTAGTGGTTCTTTTTGCATTTTTATGTGCCCTCATAGGAGGATGAGAAGTTTACAGCTGTAGCAGCCTATGTAGCTACGCCTGTGTAGTGGAGGCCAGGGTGATCTATGGAGGAATGCATGCGCGCATGAGAATAGCCAGGGGTCAAAGCAACAGTCGGTGCTCTCTGTGCTCTCTGCCTATTTGTTTTAGCATCACCTTGGTTTCTTTCTCTCTTTGCATCTTGTTGTGAAATTTAAGCCCTTCTTGCACCTGAAGGGAAACTCCCTGAACTCCATCCCTCTTCTGCTATTTCATCATTCCTTCTGCTCTCCATTGATCCGGTTTCCTGCCTCTCTAACATGCCCCTCTCTTCTCATCTGAACACGATACTATCAATTCATCTCTCCTTTCCCAGCTAGATCAATAATTCAATCGGGTACCTCGACTCACTGTTTATGTCGGTCTCTTCATTTCTCCTGTCCTTCCTTGTCCTCTGCCCTCTCTCCTTGATTCTCTGGGTTATTCTCTGTCCTTTTTTCTTCCTCTATCCATTTTTAAAATAAACAGGTAATTCATTTTTATATAGATTGCAGTGTTGGCATGAAAATCTGTATGCTGGGATAGTGGATAGTGATTTGCTTTTTAATTTTGCATTTTGCAAAAAGCATGAAAAAGCATGCAGAAAGCATGCAAGTGAACAATCTCGTTAGGACATAAAGCAGATAACAGAGGTTCATGTATGAGGTCCTCAGTGATGATTAGCAGAAGACCTCATGCATGAGGAAGAATTCCAACTTCAATATAAGACCTCTAATCACCATCATTGCCACATTCGACTCATACTTTAAGGGCTGATGATGCAGAAGAAGTTAGGTACAGTAAGAGGCTGCATATAAAGCAATGACAGCTCTCTTCTTGTTATGTAACAATCATTGTCGCAGTGCACTTACCTGTCTGCACACTGTAGTCCTGACTGGCCTAAGGTTAGAGGAACTTCTTACTCCAGCACTTTTTCCCATCATTCCATCTGAGAGGAAATACCCATGGCGGTAGCAAGGCCAAGCTTAGCTCGGCAGGGCTAAAATCAGATGCTGCGGTGGCAACTCTGACTATGCAGGACTGAGCACAGTTTGCTTCACTGGAGAATGCATCGACCTTAAAATCTGAGGGGGGAACAGAAAGGGCAAATGCAGGGTTGATGCTACAGTAGATGCAACTCTGCAGTTGCTCAAGCATGAGTGCACACAGGAAAAGGTAGAAGTGAGCTGTTGACCGTTAACACAGAACTGCTGCATTTACAGTAAACCTAGATGCAAACATAATTTTTTTTAATCATAAGCCTAAACTTATGATGATTATTAAGCAAACTGAGACTCGTGTGCTGCCGTGATGTACTGTAATTTATGTATTGAAGGCTTGTTATCCATTAGATCTGCCCCTGGTGAGGAGTTAGACTGTAATGCTATTCATTGTTCTAAAGAAAAAAAGACCAAAATGCTGACATGGGGGAAACGTTTAAACAGATAACTAATCAAAAAAAGAAACATTAAAAAAATGTAAAGTAGATACCAACCAGAACTACATAATGGACTAAAATGTGGAATACGGGTAAGGAAGCAGGGCACAGATGGAAGACAATCAGTGAATCGTAGACGTGGTAGGACAAAGACAAGAAGTAGAACAACCAATAAAGGCATAAGTAGACGTAGAAGGTATTTCCACTATTAAACGTGAAACTTGATATCAGGCTGTGACTTTGTTGGAGTATTAAAGAGACGAGAACAACTGCCACCCCGTGAAACTGATGCTGTTATGCTCGCGTAGCAACAGGCACTGTGGAGACAGAGCTATTGTTACGGTCCAACAACAGCCTAATGCTGCTTATGCAAGAAAGACAGAAATACGCATGCACAGTCGCATTTGGCATCTATATTGTCACATTGTGCTCTTTAACACACACACATACGCATTGTCATCTGGTACTGTGGGCCTGGTACATCACACACACACACATACACACACACACACACACACACACACACACACACACACAGCTCAGCAGTGCTGAACAACGCATAACTGCTGAGTGAGCGAATCTCCCTCTCTCCCCTTTATCGTCATTGCTCTCCACTCAGCTGCCTCACTATGCTGTACTATTATGGGATGGTGAGTGGCAGGGGGCCATCTACATCCACCCGTATCAATCAGAGTGTCCCTTGAACAGTGTTAAAAGTGACAAGCAGTGCAATAAAAGCAGTACATACATAAACAATACTGGAAAATCTCTGTTTATTAACATTGCTTCTGCCTTACCTTAGGTAACAGCTGTCCCTACATATCCGATGACCTGAATGAAGACACCATCAGTGTTCTGGTTCGCCTCATTACCGAGAAGAAAGGTAAATACTAACAGTGACATCGCATATAATTTGTGCATTTATTTAACAGATGGCAAGTAGCCTAAAAATTATAATAAACAGCAAATGAGAGTTTCAGCTTTGTCCGCAGCTTATTACTACTAAAGTGATAAATGGCCCAATTGGCCCAAGATATACACAGTAGCTTGGCTTTCCTCTCCAAGTTTCCTGCATCAATTACATCCACCTTATTTATGCACTTCTAATAAACTCCTGAATTACATTTTCACAGGCAGGAGGTGTTTAATTACTCTGATCTATAGTTTGAGTAGCTGGCATTATAGCTAAATGTGTATATGTGTGCTTGCTTCAGAAAATGCTGCTGCGCTGGAGGAACTGCTGCTGGAGTACGAGACCAAAGAGATGGCTATGAGCAAAGGCTCGTCAATCAAGTACAAGACCGCACGCGCGCACTTGCACAACCACAAATCATCACATGCATTTGCTCAGTCATGCTGCCCAAGGTCACACTTAACGAGATGGCAAAGGGGAAGTCTGGGAGAGAGAAAGAGAGGCGCTCGTCAAGAGAAAAGTGCGTGTGGGAGGATGTATCGGCAGAAATGGGAGCAGTGCAGATACATTTTCATACGCTTGCACTGAGCATGGAGACCTAAACTTGAATTTATAGGGCTATAAGTCCACATGCTACTCTCATGTTAATATTCCAGTAGTTCAGTCTGGACATTATTAGTTTCATTTAAGCTCTTTAACTAAAACAAATGCTAAAACATTCACTTAGGAGCGCACATTATTGTGACTGTGTCGGCTACATTTCCTCAGGAGCCTGATAACTGGGAGTGACTCACTCACTCGCCGAGGCTTGAAACCAGCTGCTAACACAGTTTACAGCCGTCTAGTCATGAGTCTGTCACACAGCTTCAAGCCACGCATTTGATATGACTGAGTGCATTTTATGGTAAGAACCTGAGGTTGTAACATAAGCCAAAATTGCTCAAGTTCCCAGAGTTTAATCGATGAGGCTCGAGAGAATGCCACTTTATAACAGTCTGCACTGCAGGGCTTTGATTATTGCTTCGACAGTGATGCCACATTTACCCCAATCATAATTTGTCACCTGTAAACCCCACGAAAGACTAAATTAATGATGTGATGACATGATGAGCATTAGATCTAATTTATTTCAGTGCAGACGTTTCTGGGGCCTGTGGCTGTGCTGCTCAGTGGTTCTGTCACATGTGATCTTTAGATGCCAGAACATTCTCTCTCTCTCTCACACACACGCACACACACACACACACACACACACACACACACACACACA